GAACTCACACCTTCTGACTTGAAGGTAAAAGTGCTACTACTGAGCCAAGCAGACCCCCAGAAGAGAGGTACATTAGGTGCTCGAAAAGTAAGGATATTAACCGATGAAGAGAAAATGTACATTATGAATTAAACAGTGTTGTAGACTTTGCAGTATGAAGGGCTGATAGTTCAGACCAACTATCAGCCCTTTATATTACTCCTGTTCCTATGTTCGTACCAAACAGGACAGAAATGGGAGTGGAAGGCATCACAACTTTCTTTAAGAGTCTATACCAGAAGGTTTTTAAAATCGACCCATCGTAAGATGCACAGACAGAGCAGCTTCTATCCTTAGAACTCTGGACAAAAGATCCTCCACCTCTACTACAATATCCACCTCCGACCGTACCTTACCCCAAATGCAATCGAAACCCTTGTACATGCGTTTGTCACCTCTTGCTTGGATTACTCCAACGCACTTCTCATCGGTCTCCCCAGCTCCATCATTCAAAAGATCCACTCATTCAGAACTCTGCTGCCTGCATACTGACCCGGACCAAACTCCGTACCCACATCTCACCAGTTCTAGCCAAGCTCCACTGGCTCCCCCATCACCGAACGGATCAACTTCAAGATCCTCACACTTGTGTTCAAATCCCTTCACTCCCTGGCACCTCCCTACCTCTCCGACCTCCTCACTCCCCAATCCTCCACCCAGCACCTCCACTCAACTGGCACTGGCCTCCTGCTTATCCCTCGCACCCTCCGTTCCACCATTGGAGGTCGCGCATTCAGCCACTATGCCCCCAAACTCTGGAACACTCTCTCTCAATCCCTCCGTCTTGCCTACTTTCCCCTTTTTCAAGTCTTGCTTTAAAACCTTCCCTTTTCGACCGTGCTTAAGGTCATCTCCTCCCCCCCCCCCCCAGCTCGGAGTCAGGCTCTGCGACTGTTAAGCACTCTGAGATGCTACCCTGCTAAAGGCGCTATATAAGTGCATGTTGTTGTTATTGCTTGGCTGTGTGACAACCACGGATATCAGGAAGCTATTTAACATCTTCTCAGACCTGTTTCATGACACGTGTACCATTAACCAAGGATAACGTAAAAGATGCTCCCAAAGCTGGAAGATTAACGAAGACCCCTAATAAAACAAGAATATTTCTCAGAAGTTGCAAATGATTTTGTTGAAAAACCTCTTAAAAATGCAATAAAAACTAATGTTTGCAATTAAACTATTTGTGGTTAAATTATTTGATTTGTGTTCAAATTTTAACCTTTGATATTCTTTTGCTTTGCATCTCCATCCCAGAATTTCTACAGCTCTTTGCAGACTTATTAAATGTTTAAGTATTTGCCTATAAAGTATTAATATTTCTAATCAATTCATTTTGTGAAGCGCTTCAAGATTGGTTTATGTACCCATGCTGTATAAGTTTGGTAAATTTCTCATTGATTTCTATAGATGTGGAAGAAAAAATCTTGAATCCTATTTCTTGTAATCCTCACTGTAAAATAATAGCACTTTGTCTGAAAATATATAATGCATGTTCTAGGAATAGGGATTCTTCCCACAAGGCTGCAAACTGTAAACCCTAGAAGTCAAAGCCTAAATGCAGTGGTGCAATCTTTCTGGTTGGCCAATAAAATACATTTTCTTGATTGAATCTTTCTTGATTTATGCCATAAATCACAAAATATTCAATCAAGAAAAAACTGAAAACACACTAGCGATCGAACATGGACTTGCCTAGCCTCATCCGAATGTTTGGGAAGCAGCTTTTTGATGGCTCTACGGTGACAGGTTGGCCACCACTACGCTAATGGATAGTGTGGTGCAAGCTAGACAAATAGCAGGAAGTTTGGTAGACAGTACTCTCAATGATAATCTATCTACACATGTCTAACTCTCAACAGTACTTCCAACACACCACTCTCAGGTCAACAAGCCTTGGCTCTCACCTACGTGCGCCTAATACTCTACGAAATTAGGTTAAGCCGGATGCGTCCGTCCAGGAAGAAAGTGTGAATACCATTCCGGACACTGAAATTTCTATGTGTAGATGGCATACGTATAATTATTGCATTTGATATAGTGCCTTTCACGTCAAGAGGACATTTCAAAGTTGTTCATAAGATTTATTGTTAAGTGTGGTGTCTGCATGTGTAGGTGAATGCAGCAACAATGTACTTCAAACAGCCACAGTGAATGACCAATTTTATCTGGGAGATTGTTACACTCGAGGATGGTGAGAATGTGGACCTCAATGCTGGAAGCAAAAAGCAACAATGTATTTTAGAGGAAATGTGATATATAGATAAGGGAGAAGGGAATAGAGGATTATAGGCAAAGTGGAAGCTGGTGTGGAATATAAATGCCTGCATGGGCTAGATGGGACAAATGGTGTGTTTTTATGCTGTAGTATTCCTTGTAACTCAAGAAGATCAGTGTTGCTTTCATAACTTTGATTAACAATTTTATTAATTTGTAAAAAGGGTGCTAGACTTTTCAAAAAAATGTGTTCATTGGATACAATTGTGTGGAAGTGTTATCATTAAACATATTGAAATTCTGAATAATTCATATATTTACTAGGTATTCACCTAATATTCACTAGGTGTTAGTTCTAGTAAAAACATCCAGTTCACCCCAAACAGATCATGTAGTTTAATTAGAAGCAAATATGTAATTCATATTTTAATTTACAGGGAAGTTTGCTGACTGGTGCCAATAGAAGCATAACTAGAGAATTGAAAACATTCTGTGCCAAAATAGTTAATTTCAATTAGGATGGTATTAGTTGCTCCTAGTGCCTCTGGGCTAGAAGAAAATCAAGCTGAGAGTTCATTTTATCCTTCATGATCGCTATTCAATGCCATCTGTTGCAATGCAGAATGTGTAGATGTAGGGTAAGGATAGCATCAACCTCCTTTGACAAATCTTTACTGCCTTAGTCAGACCATTTAGTCAGACCTTAGTCAGACCAGTCGGTTCCATTTTCAGCATTGTTTTTTGGTCAGTTCCATTTAATCCCTCTCTAATAAATAAACTATCCTACTGCCTACCTTTCCTTCACTCTCTTTCCAAAACGTTAGAGATTAATTTCTTAGATCATCATTTTTGAACCAAGTTTCAATTAGTCTTGTGATTGTCTAGTGCCTTACCTGCACTTCTACACCCATTCTGTTCTCATAGTTCTTGCATTAATATGGACACTTCTTCAATGTTCTTTGCCAACAAAGCTGATTGTTTCAGTTTACAATTACTCCTGAAGTACTTAGAGACATTTTGAGAAAATGCATTATAAAAATGCAAGTTCTTATCTATCACTTGTGAGCTGCTCACCTTGTCCCTGCCTTGTTATAGTTTAAATCCTCCACTGCCTCAATTACCCTCTCTTCAAAGACAATGGTACACACTCAGTTTTAAGTGATGCGCATACCTTCGGAGTCGTGCCATTATATGTGAATTATCTCAAGCGCTCTCAACTACATCATTTGCTAACTGGCCTAGTATGTGGCAATTAGAGTAATTTTAGAAATTACTATTCTTGAAGTCCTGCTCTTTAATCTGGTACCTGGCTCCTCATACTCTTTTTCCAAGATCTACACAGTTACTGTTTCTATTGCACTGTTTCATGAAAACCACAGTCTCTGGCTGTTCTTCCTCTATTGCCTGAACCTTTTATGCCTGCTATCTGACCCTTATCCTGGCTTCTAAGAGGCAGCACATTTAGGACTTATGGTTGTGGTGGGAGCAATGGTCCCTATCTCCACAATTATGGAATTTCCTACAATTAACTTGCCTTTATACAGCACCTTTGACAGCACTCTTGAGATGTTATCATTTGTGAAGGCACTATATAAATATAAATTGTCGTAAAAACAAACTTACTTTACAAAATGTTGTTTATTAGAAATTTAAGTGAATTTTCACATCAGATAATCTGCACTAGCAAAATCCCATAATCAATAGTGAAATTATTGGTTATGGGACTTATTAATTTCCAAGTACCATTTTTCTATTTTTTCTAAATTCATTTTTTACCCCAATCTTCACAGTACCATGGTGTTTCTTATGATTCTTTTTATCCATGTTATTGGTATGAAGTGCTGCATGTCTGTTTGACAAATCAAAAATCACAGAGGTAACCCACTCCTCTGAACAATTATCCGTTATGTGGTTGATGAACCATTTTTTCCTCTTTTCTGCTTTTTCCAGTCTTTAAGATGCCTCTCTCCTAAAAAGATTCCTTCCATGTGTGATATAGAATGTGACCAGCTAATGTGAGCACATTTCAATCATCCTACACTTCACACATGTATTTTCCTTGGTTACTTAACATCTACTTGTATTTATATAGTTCTCTTCACATAAGGTAATGTCTCAGAGCATTTGGTGTCTCTGTTGCTTGGTACTCTGTGGTATCAGCCATTGTGCACAGACAGCAGCTTTGCATCTGGTACCACCATCCCAATGCTCACTGCTTATTGCTTACAAAGACTAAATAAAGAACTGAATTATTTCATTTACAAACCTTTGTCCTGGAGCTTGTGGCCAACTATCTCAACACTGAATCCTTTTTTTAAACTAATTTCACCATGTTGACTCTATTGACCTCTCACTCCATTGACCTTGCACAGCTCGATAAATGGATAACTAAATAAATTCTGTAAAAGGATTAGGAAAAGGATGCTGATCTTTAAAGGGCTGTTTTAGCACACTTTACTAGATGATATGCACCTTTAACTTTAGAGTTCTATAATTGTCATACTGCCAATGTAGCAGCTTAAGTTGTTTTACAAATGATCATCAAAACTAACTTTTCAAATCTCTTTATTGCAAACTGATGTGGTTATTGGAACCGTTATGTTATTTACTGCAATGTAATTGTATTTCAATAATTTTAATAAGGGTTCTAAAGAAGATGTCAGTGTATTATATGAATGCAACTGTTAATCATTTTATGTATAACACAAATTTGAGTGTGATACAATTTTATATTTATTATATTGTAGCTTCAAGAAATTTTTAGGAACAAAAATGAGAAAAGAGGAAGGAGAGGTGATGATGAGGAAAAGTCTGCACAAGTGGTAAGTATAGATATTACTTTCTTGTTTTTAATTTGTGGAGAAGGTGACTTTAAAATAGACATCAACACAAGTTTAACTTAATATAAATGTTTTAATGTTAATTACTATATCTTCAAAAACCTAACTATTAGTGATCATTTGAGTTTCAGATATAAATCATATTTAACAGATCAAGGCACAAAAATAAAAGCAGAAAGGACTAATTTTAGACCTAGAGGTTCAATTCTTTTCTATCTGTCTAGAGTAATCTTGACAATTTCACTCCATGTTCTACTTTTAATTGCTGTTGTTTTTCCTTTCCTTACCTCTCCTCGTTTGCTGGCTACAATCTGTATTTTGATATCACATCGATCCTCATGTAAGAATCTGCAACTTTTCGGTTATCAGTATGCTCCTAGTCGCAGTGTATGTAATGTTTTTAATTCTATCTAGATCGTTAAACTACATAGGATGCATTTCAGTATCTAAACCACCCGAGTGCCAAAATGTATGCAACTCAATTGAAAAATATTTGAAACACAATAATGTGGTTCAATGAGACTTTTTTTTCAATTCTAGTTTCTAGAGTTACATTTTGGAATTTCCGCTTAAGCTATATGATGACTAGCAAGGAAATGTTCAATGACTTAAATCGCTACTCAAAAGGTTGATATGAACATGAATTACATTTTGACTTTCCTTTAACCAATAGTGGATTGATTACCATAATTGTTTTTTGTTTTATTTTCAGTTGTTTACTAATTTACTGAAAAATTTATTATAAAACATAGATTATTAATATAAAACATAAATGTGCATTATCTTGGATTGTGACAGGCTCTGATGATTAATCATCAACAGTAACATGGAATACTCTGGACCTATCTGGTTTATGATCACCAAGTTTACCCACAGGATTGACACAGCAATGCTTTCCCTTTGGCAAGAGTGCCATAGTTGTACCAGAGTGTCTCTCACTTACTTCTCTTCTCCCCCCCAGCCCCTCACCCAAGAAAATTAAGGAGATCTAACCGAGATCTTCAAAATTTTGAAAGCTGTTGGGAGGATAGATAGTAAAAGAGTATTCTGTTGCTTGGTAAATCAATAACAAGAAGGCATTATCACTTGGAGGATTCTTAGAACATAACATATTTTGCTATTAAGGCTGAGATCATAACAAGATAATTTGATAAACATTTAAAGAGTAGAACATAAAAGTTAGTGTATGTGGAAGAACAGAATTTGGATTAAAATATTTGTCTCTACTAAAGCCAGTGTGATAAAAGGCTTGATGGGTCAAGTGGCCTCTTGTGCTGTACATTCTATGGTTTCCCCTAGGAAGATAGTCAAAAGTTGGTCATCTGACAACTGACCAGCACAGGTTTGAGTTCTTGCTGGATGAATAACTGGTACAAAGAACTTCTCCCAAGCAATGTGGTGAGCATTGTAGTTGCATATACAATGTATGTTACCACCATCCTTCAGACACAGTCATTCGAACGTTGACATTACACCAGTTTTAGCAGTAGTCTTAAATTACCAATGAGTTAGAAAACAGGGACATTGCCCTTCTTGCTATTCTGTATAATGCTATATAGTTTACATTTTTTCCTCTTGTATAAAAAATCATCTCCTTTGGATTCGTTGTTCCATCTGCTATTTTTTGGGCTAAGAGGGTTCAGACCAATTGGAGACACAAGGTTAGAAGTAAGATCAGAAAACATTTCTTAAAGTTCATGAAAATGTGGAATAGATTGCCAAGAAGTTCATAAGGACAGAACCAATTGGGATTTTTGAAAGGGATATATATATATTTGTATAGAGAGAGAGAGAAAGAAAGAGATATAGATACTTGGTAAGTAAAGTAATAAGGGGTATGGGCAAATGTTAGGGAAATGGAACTAAAATTTCAGTAACGTTCTAATTTACTGATAGATCACTGGATTACATAGTCCCCTCCTCTTCTTGTGTCCTTAATAGTGTCACACTTTCTATCTCCTTTTTTTTCCATGATAGAAGTGTCTTAGTCTTTCCCTATTAGTTTAGAAGAGAGAACTTTCACATAAAGATTAGCTGTCATAAACTTGTGTGGTACCTCTGGGGAGTTATATTTGTACACCAATGTGATGCACAGATTATTGTTGGAATATTAAATACTGCCTTGTGAACTTTGGTGGAAAGAAGCATAGTTAAATTTGGGGCACATCTTGTAATTTGACCCAAGCTTGTATTTATTTATACATTAGTATACAAACTGGTGAAAGCTATTAGGTACAAATGTGGTGTTTTTTTAAAAAGGTTTTAAATACTTGTTTTAAGGAAATCTCTTGAAATGATGATTTCTTTCAACTGTGGTTTAGTTTATCATGTTTTTGGAATTTTCACTGTACCCATTTGATAATATTTAAATTTACAATAATTATACTGTATCAAACTCTGCAGGTACTAAAAAAAGATTCCCCAGATCAGAATGCAAACAGAAGCTACTGGGATATACTGAGGCGTAACACCAGCCAAGCACTTTTTTCAAACCTTGTAGAGGTACAGAAAGACGTTTGTCAAGTGACAAAGCTGGGAGTGTTTCATTTAATTTGATGTAGTTCCAAATGTGTTTTTACTCTCATTCCAGATATTGTGGTTTTAATTTCAATTTTTGTTTTTCACTCTTCCAATAACAAAAAAAAGTACTTTAGAATGCTTTAACATGAATCCATTTACACTAGTCAGTTATTACATTTATTTTAAGGATTGGTACTAATTTCTCAGCCTATATCAGTGATAACCATGAAGTGGACAATTCTTGTCTATCTAAAACCACCTACTTGCTTTCGCTTGCAGTGTTGAAGACATACCCAAACCTCCAAATTTCCTTTAATTATTGTGAACTCATTGGATGCACTGTGAGGTATCTCTCAGGAATCATGTCAGCCCAAGGGAAACCCTGTCAATCTTCACTTTCCTTACCACCACCAACCCCCACCCCCCCCACACACACACCACACACCTGAACATATTTTGAGATGGAGTATTCATTTTATCAACTTTAAAAGAGTGATAAACTCTCAGGGTCAGGATGAATGCTGAACCAACTAAGTTACGTAAAATAATTGCTGTTTGGGACGTGCAATGGCAGGTCTTCCGGTGCTCACATATAAGGTATGCTTTATGAAGACATTTGCAATTTACCAAAGATTGGTAAGTTCCCAATCTGATATACCACTGGAGAGAAATGTAGAACAAACAAGCAACTAAACATTCATGAACATTGGAGAGTTTTCTGAGGTATTGAAACAGTTTCGGAAAAGAGGCAGAAAGAACAACTTTAGTATTTAGCATTTCACGACAGATTATGAGTAACCAGAAAAGGGTGATTGCCTGGACCGTAATTATATAATGCTGCCCACCAGGATGTTTCTGGTATCCTCTACTAACCTAGTAAAGATTCAAAACTCTGCTTGTCAGATGTCAAATGACCAACCTGTTACTAACTTGCTTGTAGCTGAGTTAGCTCCAAGGTGATGTTCATGGCAATGAAATGTCGAAATCAAGTCAGTCCTCTGTGGCAGTCTCGGTAATGTGGATTCATGTTAAAGTATTCTAAAGTCCTCTAAGTCTTTGCTGATGATAGACTGACCCTGCTGGTCGGCAGGTTTTAGAAGGGCAGTCAGAAGGAATATCAAATGTAAGGATGATGATTATTATCTCCGGGAAGCTACCTCGTGTGAAGGGCGCTATAAAAATACAAGTTGTTATTATTATAAGCCTGATTTATAATTCCGGATCCTATTTGGAATGGATGAGATTCAGATATTGATAGAAGTATTATTATTCAAATAATAATAATTACAAGTCAGTGAAAGCCCCCAAAAACCCAGATTTTTTTTAACTCAAAGATTGCGAAAAATAAAACCCAACAAATTAATTTTTTAAACACACATTTTAAAACAGATGCCTTAGGTGTAGTGCATGTCTTGCATAGATGTCACAGCACACATTCAAACTTGAATTGTGTTTTTCAGTGATGTGAATGAGTTCGGATGACTAGAAATTGCTACAGATTTATTTCATTGGAAACAATGTATAATATTTTTCTTTGAATATCAAATATACAGACACAGTCAGCAGCTGCTGGTTTTATAATGTTAAAAATAATGAAGTACTGCACACATCTTATAATAAGTGAAATAGATACACCTGTAATTTCCTTTGACATCAAGAACTACATCTTCAATGAACATGAATGCTCTGCCAAAGACTGGTTGAAAAAGTGATGCGCATTGGGTATTTTCTAATAATTGTCAGTTCTTTATTCTGTTACATCATTGTCCTCTCCCCTTCCAAATCTAGCTTAAGTGGAGATGAATTCCTGCTTTTATGTTTTGTAGCTTAGCTTTGATTTTAGTGAAGTGTAACCATCCTTCATGTAAATATTTTGTACTACTTTTCTCATACATAAATATTAAAAGTGTAACCTTTTAAAAATAAATCATGCCTATCTCTTTTGTTCCAGCGTATAGAGGACAGTTTCATTGTTGACACTACACTTCTTGTACATTTTTTTGGAAGAAGAGGAAAGGCTGAGCTTAATTGTGATGACTTTTACAGGTAAGTCATAAATTGAAATAACTTCTTAACTTGATTGACTATTTTTCACCTGTTTAATTAATTACTTCGGACTTAAATACAACAAATTCAGCATTGTTTGTGTTTCACTGCAAACCATCATGTATTAGAATCTCATGACTATTAAATGTGGAACAATACCATGGAAAGTGTTTAAATACCTTAAATGTATTTAATATTGTGTTACTTTTAAACTGATGGTCTATCCTTGAATAATAGTAAACTGGGGAGGATAAGAAATGACTGTAGTAGCTGTAACTCAGTAAAAAAAAGTGCTGTCATCAATAAAAAAATACATTCCTTAAAAAAATTACACTTTCGAGGGAGTTTACGCTATTGTACCACATCAAAAAAAACGTTTTAGTTGCAAAACAGCATACATAATATACTGCTTATGTTGTTTATCTTTCAATATTTGTGTCAATTTTTTTAGGTTCATGGACAATTTACAAACAGAGGTTTTGGAGACTGAATTTCTTTCATATTCCAAAGGAATGATCACTATTAGTGAAGAAGATTTTGCTCGTACTCTACTGCGATATACAAATGTAGACAACATAAGCAGTTACCTGGAGAATGTTCGTCAAAGAATTCCTGAAGACAAGGTACAGTATTTGCCATTAGACTTGTGTTATTCAAACAAAGATTAAATCAACTTGACAAGTAACTCATTTTGGAGACAAATTGCACTTTTTAAACCTTAGGCTGCCTTAGTTGATATTCGGAAGCTCCTGTCTCGGTAAAAGTGCCAAGGGTCTATTAGTTCTGCAAATTTTCAGCTTATGTACAGAAATACTGGAGAAAAAAGAAATTGTAGAATTAAAGTTTTTCATACGTTAAGCTATCTGTATCACTGCAACATTGGCATAAACCCTTTGAAATAAATCCCCTCAAAAACTAAACATTTAAAAAATCCAAGAGCAAATTGCTTTGGGAAACATCTGCACACTTCTTCGGAGCCAGTTACCAAGTTTTATGGTGGAGGTCTGGGAGCGGGTTGTACACCTTCTAGTCCAGAATATCAGTTTGGGCTCCCAGAAAAAGAAAACATTGAATACAACTCTACAAATTTAAATTAATCTTTTAAAATTCATATATAGTTCCTCTAGAATATTTTCATTCAAATTAATGAAAATTATTTTTTGTTTTTCGAGCATCTCACACATAGTATCTCATCCTTATTATCCTTTGAAAGGAAAAAAACATGCATCTCTTCTTTTCAATTTATCTAATTCTTTAATTTCCCATTATAGAGTTATTGGTGGAAGGTTATTGCTGGGTGAGTGACTCTTATCAGTAGGTGAAATATTTTGAAGGAATTCAGCAGCTAAGAATGCTGAAGAATCGTATAGCTCATCCCTTCAATTGTGATAACAGATATCTGTTATCAGTGGAGTATCTGAGCAATAGAAGAATCTGGTGGTAGATAAATGCATCAGTGCAAATCAATAGAGCTGGTGTTACAACTAATCCCTAGACTTGGGATGTTTTGGATTTATTCCTGTCTGTTTTTGTTTATGTAAGGATCAGGCTAATCTATCTTGGAAAAATGTGCAAACAGTTTGATTTTCTTTAAATTGCTGCACTTTAACAACATTGACAGTTAAACTTGTGAAACCAGAAAATTCTCAGTTTACTTTACCCTTCAGACAACATTACCTACAACACTGTCGAACTTCAAGATTTCCCAAATACTTAGTCAGACATTTTGAAAGGTAATCCCATCTGCCTGTTCAGGTGAACGTTAAAAATCCCATTGAAAAGAGAAGGGAATTTCTTCCCAGTGTCCTGGTTAACAATCCCTCATTCACTCATAAAAATTTACAGCACAGAAAGCAACCATTTGGCCCCATTGTTTTTATGCTGGCTTTTTTAACTAGCAATCTTTTCAGTCCAATTTACCAGCCTTTTCCAAATACCCCTGTAGTTTAGTCCTTTCTGGATTAGTGTTCCTTTTGAAAGCTAATATGGGTCCTGCCTCAACCCCTGCTTCCGGAAGGACACTCTTTAACAATTTTGGGCATGAAAAAGAGTCTCCTAATCTCACCATGTTCTCCATTTCCAAATTTAAAAATTTGTTGTAATTTCTCATTTGCTAGCTGTCTTAAATTAATGCCTTTTAGTCACTGACTCACTGACCAGTGGAAATAATTTCTCCCTTTTGACACCATGAAACACCCTCATAATTTTAAAGACCTATCAGGTTACCCCTCAATCGCTTTTATTCCATTGGTCAACCTCTCATCCCTGGTATTATCCTAGTAAATCTCCTATGCACCCTCTTTATATGACCACACTCTGGAACTCCATCCCACAGTCCCTTCGCCTCGCTTCCTCCCTTGCCTCCTTCAAGGCCGGTCTCAAGACTCTCCTCTTCGATCGTGCCTTCAGTTGCCCTCCCACCTCTCTGCCTTCCCTCACCTCTACCCCACCCTTCCCCCATGCTCAGGTCCTGACCCCAGACTGCCAAGTGCTTTAGGACGTCCTCCCATCATGAAAGGCGCTCTATAAATGTAATTTTGTTGTTGTTGTTGACCTTAACTTCCTTTCTAAAGTGAAATGACTACAACTGGATATATCCTAACTAACAAATTATTAGTTTAACATGGCCTCTTTGGTTTTATATTCTATACCTCATTTTATACAACCTAGGATTTCATTTGCTTTCTTGACCACTTTGTCCACCTGTTTTCCCACCTTTGATTTATGTATGATAACCCCTAGGTCCCTCTGCTCTTCCACACTTCTTGATGGCTGCTTGTGGGACATTGTGCACAAATTGGCTTTGCTGTTTGCCAACAAAATACAGTCAATATAGTACACAATAAATCCTGTGAAGCCTTTGTGACGTCTTGAAAACATGATGAGGAGCTATATCAAATGTAAGGATTATAAAAACGTCTCTGTTTGGTTAAAAGACAAACAGCTCACACTATCAGTCTTCAAATTAATTTGCTCCAATGCAAATTTGGAGTAGGAAATTTAGTTGCGTTTATCATTTTTCTTATTATTGTTAATTGTGATGATGGCGGGGATGAGGAATCATTCTGCAGCATTGAACAGTAATATCAGATGTCCCACATTACCCCTTGTAACCCATTAACAAACTTAGCTGAGTTAATGCTAATGCAAATTAAGTAAATAAAGTAAATGAAAGATCTACACCAAAGCAATTTTGCAAGTCTTTTCACAGTCATTTTAGGAAGAAGATGGGATAAGATCTTACCAGCATGCAGTTGAAATGATGTTTGGAAGAAACCTAATGACTATTTTAAAAAAAGTGAAAAAATCGTCTTTTTAAAAAAAGTCCTTTTTGTTTAGGTTCTTCACAGGAGCACAAGAGAGGTTCAAATTCAAATGAAGAAAGCCCTTTGGCCTATTTGATCTCATCCTTCCAAAATACTTACGTTGAAACATTGATTATTATTGCCCACAGTGTTTTTTTTATACACTATGCAGTGAAAGAAATATTATATAATTTGTAAACATTTAATTTTTAATACAGTTGCCACTGTCATTGCAATGTTAATGGAATCATTACCACAAAAGGCTATTTCCTTAATAGAATCATTCAAAAGGGAATTGGATAAGCACATGAGAAGTTTAAAAATATTAAGGTATATGTGGAAAGCTGGTATATGGGGAAAGCTGGTAGATGGGGAAAGATGATATATGGGGAAAGCTGATAAGAAAGGACAATTTAGAAAAAACAGAGGTAGCAGTGGTATTGACAAGATGAGCCTAATGCTCACCTCTTGTGCTGAAGATTTCTGTTCCTATGCCAACACTCATATTTTTAGATCCTTTCCTACAAGTATAGTTTGCTCATCGTGTTCCTTAATGACACCAAAAACCTAGAAATTGGCTGCTTTGCCTTCAATTTGCAGTGTATTTTATGTTGTCTCATTTTATTATGAAAATATTTTTAAAGTTATTTTTACTTTTGTTTATAACAGGCAACAAACTTAGAATTTAATTACCTTTCTCGGCTTCAGAAGTAGCAGGTGTAGTTGTGCAATGTTCTAAAGGTTACGATTTGTAGACTTTCATCGATAAATCTTTTATTTGGTGTCAAAAGTCAAGAGATCTGTTTCAAATGGTTATATTTATAGACACTAAAAGTTGCCTGAGTGCTGTAAGTAAACGATTGGTACTTGGCACTCATTAAAGTGTTTTTTTCCCCTAAATTTTGTTTTAGTTGATTTGTGTGAAAAGAAGCCATAAAGAATCCTTGACCTGATCTGCTGACCTTCAGAGATGTTTCACTCTTTGTGAGTGATCATCAGGTCAAGTATTAACCTACTATTGCTTGGTCATATCACACATGAAGTGTTAGATATTGAAGCAGAGAGTAATAAATCAAATATAATACCCTATCAGTTGTAATTAACTACCTCTTAATTGGCACCTATGTATTACTTGAACCATATAATGTTTCACATGACATCTTAAATGTAAGCACTAGATTACGTATGACATGCCATTATTATTTGCATTATAGGGTATCACTTTTGATGAATTCAGGTCTTTTTTTCAATTTCTGAATAACTTGGAGGACTTTGCCATTGCAATGCAAATGTATAATTTTGCAAATCGCTCAATTGGGCAAGGTAAGTTAAGAGACTGCTGCTGTATTTCAGATTGTTTTTTTAAAAGTATGAATGAAAGTAGAAATTTGCTTTGCTCACAAAGCATATTCAGCTTATATATGAAGTTTTGTTCACTAAATGAGTCATGTAGTGTATGAACATTTAGGCTAATAGCATGATTTTAACAAATATAATGCAAATCGTTTTGTTGCAATTTAGCAACATCTTCAAAACGGAGTGAATTGCTTATTTAAAAACCCTGATAGAAAATATTAACCTTTCAATAGATAGTGATTTTTTTTTAAAAAGTGAATATGTTACATAGAATAATGGTAGCTGGCAGAAGTTTTCAATAACATTCAAAACAACAACAACTTAACTTATATAACACTCCTCACGCAAGGTAGAATCCCAGAACGCTTGACCTCAAGCAGTAGATTATGAGGTCAACTGAATTGCAAGATTGAATTACTTAAACTCACCTGGAGGCATTTTTGTTATTATTTTCAAATTATTTAGGTATCTTAATGTTAAATGGTTGTGCTAAATGAGATAAATAGAGGAATTTAATGGTAATCAAAATGCTGATCATAATGATCTCGGATATGATAATATGTGCCATCATCACTTTAATAATATGAGTTTGGGCTAGAAAATCATAAAGGAATATACTGCAGATAATCAAATAATTGATATTTATTGCAGACAAATATCAAACAGTTCATTTATATAATTAGTAAACATTGGAACTGAAGTCATTAATAATGCTAGAGAGATTATTCAGATCTTCTTTGATAAGATCCAGCACCTTGGGATGTCCTCCCGGTATATGTAATTTTATATTGTATCATTACTTCTTACGATCATCTTTTCTTAGACAGTGTGAGTGTGTGTTATAATTTGATTTTAATGTATAATAAACTACTTCCTCGTTGAAACCAGCAGTAACTTTACGATGCTCATTAATTTAACTCAAATTTCATTGAGTTGCACAAGATTTTAATATTTATTTTATAAGTATTGATTAATAATCTGCAAATAACTTGATTTCTTTTCTAGAGGTGTTTTAATGTTGTTTCTAATTTGAATTTGTAAATAACAGTTAAGCCTTTTTGATTGTGTTAATTTATACTGATCAGTTACTTATTAGAAAAGTATTTTATCACTTTTCACTCCCTTTTGACATGTTTCCACAGATGAGTTCAAGCGTGCTGTATATGTAGCCACAGATCTCAAACTTTCTCCACATTTGGTCAATACAGTCTTCAAGATCTTTGATGTAGACAGAGATGATCAGCTAAGTTATAAGGAATTCATTGGTATTATGAAAGATAGGCTTCATAGAGGATTCAGGGTAAGGGTATCATTGTATAAAAGATTAATGCTGAAATGCTTTGGAAGTGTGTATGTCCTTATCTTTATAGCTTAATAGGTGATAATTACCTCAGTGTCTTGCAATCAGCAGAAGATCATTACATCTTTAATGCATTTGAAAAGAACTGGAATGTCAAGCACGTGTAATTGAAGTAAACAGTAGCACCAGTGCAGGTCTTGGATTAGTCCAGTGTTATCTCAAACCTCTATTTAATGTTTAAACTTTCAAGGATACCTTTATATGGTCTTGTCGCTAGTTAGTGACCAGTTTCTTCAAAACGATCTTCCGTCTGTTGAAAACATGACTTATTTAAAATCAATTGGTGATATAGTACCTAAGTAAGAGTTCAGAACTGTGTTCAGTGGTTTTCCAACCAGGAAATCTGACTTGTTAATTTCTTTAATTTCTTTAACAAGTCAGTAATATGTCTAATATCAGTTATCTCTCTAGTTATTCGTGTTCTACAGCTGCCAGTACCAACAATTTCGACTTTCCACAAACCTTGTTCTGTTCCTGCAGCATCAGTGTCTGATTTCCTACTTTATAAAAATGGTGTGGGAAAATCAAATCCACTTCACCCTCCTATAGAATTCAAATCTTATTCTTCATCTCCTTTTGAATTTTTGAAGTAAAAATATATAGGAGCACTTTTTGTTTGATGTGTGCTAACAAGAAATAGAGAAAAATATTTATAAACAAACTCTTTTTGTATAGCTAGGAATTCTTGTTTTAATATCATACCTAAAATCTGCCTTATTCTGCGTTAGGCCATCAATCTAAAGAAACGCATAGCACCGCTTAGTAACCTCTTGTACTACCAATGAGGTTTCTACTGACTGAAGAGAACAAATATAGTGTAATGCCCACCTCACCTGTGCAGGCAAAGAAATACTGTTTTAATATGCCAAAGGTATATTAATGTATATTAATGTTTGTTCTGACACTTCATATGCCACTTTGTTTGCATATTTAGTTTGATATGGTCACATAGCCCACATCACCAAGTATCCACTCATCCATTCTCTTGGCTCCATGGTAATGAAAACATGCAAAGCATCACGTGTCTCACCAGGATATTTTGCTTTAATGAAAATTATCCTGCACTGGCGATCACCTACGTTTTGCATATTGATGAAGTCGAACTCTTTGAGGTTAATAAAAGGCAGGACAGCATTGACTGGAACAACTTGTATAATCAATGATTGCTTGGACCTCAGGATTCCTCCAATCTCAAAAACGACCTTTACCCATTTTACTTGCATTTGGTGAAATGAATGTCTGTTAACCCTCCTTTTCACAACTTCTGCAACTTGCAATTGACTGAGGATTGGCGGATGCCAGCAATGTCTCTAATTGTGTCGAGAAACTATAAGTAGCAACAAAAAAAAAGATTCAGTGAGGCAGTTACCTTAAAGTTACGCAGATCTCACTTAAAAGACGACACAATTCAGTCATTGCCTCAGAAGTCAGGTGAAGCCTCCTAATGCATTGATCATCAGTCATTTTCAGGTAACTGGATCTTACCTTAAAACATGGTCTTTGTTTCTGTGTGTCAGCATGTCCTGACCTCTCTATGCTGCTTGCATACTGTGGCCTTCTTATGTTTTTTTTTTGCTTCTCACCAACAAATAACCTCAAGGAGGATGGAGTATGTGAGTAATTGGAGTCTCCCCGAGCTGAACTGGCATTCGGGAGATACGTCTGCAAAACCAGGCTGGCTCACAGTAATTCAAGGCATACCTGGGACATAAACATATCCTCAACTCTGCAAGACCAAAGCTCTTAACGTGGAATGATTCTAGCTGTATAAATTGCAAGATAAAAAAATTATACACCAACAGCTGCTATTAGCATTGATTTTGAATAGTAATAGAAAGGTGCTTTTTCAGAGCTACACAGCTTCTCTGCTTTGCCATGATTTATCCTCACCAGCAGCACAATTGCAGTCCATATGAGGAGAGGGAAATTTGAATATGGAATGGCAGCATTCATAATGACTGGTTAATTGGCTTGAGAGTGTTCTGTGATGCCAACAGCTTCACCAGGTAAAATATGGGTAATGCTGAATAGTATGCTATTTACTACATGTTAAGAGTACACAGATACAAACCCTAAATGCCCTTACAGTTCTGTAATGCGTAGTCTCACCAACAAACAGCAACTGTTGTAGAATTTGTTTAAATTTTTACTAATTAGATTTGTATAAGATGTTGGTGGTGGTCTTGAGGAGCGCAGCTGTAGTGGTGAACTGAAAGAGAAATGTAGTAATGTGGGGCATTGAGGGAAATGTAGTAAAGTGGGGGCATTGAGGGAGATGTAGTAATGTGGGGACAATGGTCTTGAGACATTGAAGTCTAGCCTGATTTGGATCAGTCCTTTTCAAGCTTTCTTGAGAAAGTCTAGTAAAATTGGCATTTTATGACTGTGTATAAACTTTGATTTAATTCCTTGCTATTAAATAAATTAGGCCATAACCTAGAAACTGAAGATATTAGAAAAGCTAATTAATAAATGCTAACTAAAACGAGTCCTTCAAAATAATTTGAATTCATAAATTTTTCATTCCCTTAAGACTTGGACGATGTGTCCTGAGGAATTATTCACCCCTAACGCTTTCTTTTTGTAGCGATGTAGCAATCAACCTACTAATAGCCTGGAGATAACCGCTAATCCTTTGAACAGTAGATAGATAGTATTTCTTTAGAAAAATGTGAAACCTATTAATTGCACAATTTTTGCCAATATTTTAATTAAAAATTATTTGGTTCTATGCAGTTCTTTAATTTCAGTTCTGGCGCATCTTCAGAAATATAAGAATCTTCAATTTTAACTTTGTTCCATGAATTTTTCTACATTTAGTTTGGTCAGCTGGGTGTCTGACATGCGAAAACCCATCACCATTATTAAGAGTATCCAAACTGGACAGTTTTACAAATTCATAACTACATAAGGATGTTTTGCCCACAAAATGCAGTCAATCCACTTTACAGTATATCCTGTGAAGCTCTTTGAGATGCTTTGACGACGTGAAAAGGCTCTGTATTGATGCAAGAATTATTATTGTATGTTTCCCTTTGGAATGGAGTGCTCACAATTTCTACTGGAAAGATGCACCCTGCTTATTTAATTCTGCAAATAAATTAGGGATAAATTGGCAAGAATCAAGGTTTGGGGACTTAGAATGTTCATTGACTTACTAAACTTTAACCATGTTTGCTATTGTGAATACGGTCTGGCAAACTTCAAGGTGAGGACTACTCTACCCATTAGGGCTTTGGCCTGCAGGTTGAATAGAAGCTGAGTGGTAGGAATCTCTGCCCCCAACAATTGGCTGCATCTCCAAGTTCTGCTGACACCAATATAAGTACTTCAGACCTACCTGGGTCAGGAAGCAAATTACTGAGACCACCACAGAAGATCGACTCAATTCCAATATTCTATTGTCCAGCAGCTCACCTTAGTGCCAGCTCAGCCTCCGAGGACACATCTCATAAATGCTCCTTTCCTCCCCCCTGATGGTCGGTAGTTAATATTTTACTAACATTTACTAAAGACAGAGAATTTCTCTGAAAATGTTGCTGTAGTTTTGGTATACTTTGCTGCCACCTACTGGGATATTAGTAGTAGTCAAATTAGTAATCTTGAATTTCAATTTAAATTCACTTTGGTTGAATAAGCCTCTTGAGTATACACTATATGGGAAGGTAATGTTTTTGCCTTCCACAAGTGAGTTATTTTCTGTTCATCTCCTGTCTCTGCTGTTAATGATTTCTACTAATGCTGATGTTCCTGGTCTAATTTGTTATTAAAGCAATACGTTTTGTATAATAATAAACTTAAAGATTAAACTGACTGCTTTGATGCAATTATTTTTTTTAATTCATGCACTATTGCCTGCTCCTATCATGCTACTAAAGTAGTTAGATTGTCATTATTGTCAGTAATTTTCTGCTTTCTATCTATTCAGGGCTACAAATCTTCACAGCAACACCCCAATTTCAAAATTTGCCTGAAAAAGGAGTTCTTCAATAGATAAGTATGTTGGATTGACAATTTGCTTTTAACTAGACATTTATTTGACACCTGCATGAGTGATGCGAGTATTGTTTTATTGTGTTATGACCATAGTCACGCATTGGACTGAACACGAGGTTGGATTGTGCCAGTGAGGTCTAAAAGTCCTCTACCCTCATCACCTCTTATTTGTTGGCTTCAAAAACTGTTCCATAGGAGCATAGGAACACAAGAACAGGAATAGGCCATTCAGCCTGTCGAGCCTGTTCAGCCATTTAATTAGATCATGGCTGATCTATATCTTTACTAGAATTTCAAATTCTATCTCCCGCTTACCTTATCCCTTAATACCCCGACCTACCAAAAATCTATCAACCTCACTCTTGAAGGTGTGGATGGATCCAGCATCCACGACCTTTTGGGAGAGAGAGTTTCAGATTTCTACCACCCTTTGAGTGAAAAAATGCTTCCTGATTTCACTTTTAAATGGCCTGGTTCTAATCTTAAGACTATGTCCCCTTGTTTTGGATTCCCCAACCAGAAGAAACAGCTTCACTGTATCTACCGTATCAAATCCCTTTATCATCTTAAATACCTCAATCAAATCGCCCCTCAACCTTCTAAATTTAAGGGAATGCAATCCAAGATTATGCAGTCTTTCCTCGTAACTTAACCCTTTTAGATCTGGTAGTATTCTGGTGAACCTGCGCTGCACCCCCTCCAGGGCTAATGTATCTTTCCTGAGTTGTGGTGCCCAAAACTGAACGCAGTACTCCAGATAGGGTCTGACTAACGCTCTATACAGCTGTTTGTTTGTTTTTGTAAAAAAAAATACAAACAGATTTTTCTCCACGGAAACCCCTGAATGTGAACATCACCAAATAGCTCCAAATCAGTACCTTACTGGAGCCAAGATCTTGTGAGTAATTTCCTTGCAAGCAAGGATTTCCAAAGAGTAGTTGTGTGTCATCCACATACATGTGGAAGTTAAACCCATGCCTACAGATGATCTTACCAAGCGGGAGCACATAAATATTAAAGAGCTGAGGGCAAAGGACAGAGCTGTTCGCGATGGTTGAGAGTGTTGGGGGAGAAAGCATAAGCGGACACAAAGTAGAGACGATGGGCAAGGTAAGAGTGAAACTGAGAGGAGAGGCGGTGGAGAAGATTAAAATTAGTCAACCGTGTTGAAAGTGGTGGAGAGAACGAGAAGGGTGAGGAATTAGAGTCACAAATGGACAGAATATTATTTGTAACTTTGACTAAGTCTGTCTCTGTCCTGTGGGCTGCACAGAAAGCAGCTTGGAGGGGTTCACATACAGGGGGTGTCAGGAGAGGAAACAGCAAAGCTGGGAAGCAATGACTCTTTCCAGAATCTTGCTAAGAAAAGGAGGTTTGGAGATTGGATGGTAAACAGATGGGTAAAGGGAAGGTTTTTTTAGGGCAAAGGAGATGATTTGCTTTGGAGAAGAGCCTGGGGTTGTCTTTGGCCTCCAGGATGATTCTGGAGAAGGACGATGATTTAGCTGAGGTAAGGGTGGAGCAGTATTGATGAGATCAGCCAAATCTGGCGGTGCTCCGTTTGGTCGGATTTGAGCCAAATTAGTTCAGTAGCCCGCACCTGCAACTTGAGGGAGTGGAGGTGGCTTATTTGGGAGTAGGAGGTGGTGCAAGAGGTGTTGGGGGCAATGGTGTCGAGGATATTAAATAGAGAGTTGTGAAGGAGGGTGACAAAGGAGGTAAGGTTGTTTTGGGAAGAGGACCAAAGGGGCAGGAGATCAGATGACAAGAGCAGCGGAGAGGGAGTGGGCAGTGAATTTTTTTCCAGGGACAGAAGGAGATGGAAATGGGTTGGGTGCAGGGAGTGGGATGGAGGAGCTAAGGGAGATTAAGTAATGGTCCAAGATGGCTTCATAGTGATGTCTGAGATGTTGAGGCCCTGAATAATCACCAGGTCAAGGGGGTGTCTATGGATGTGGTGGTGTTCATGAGGGAGGAAGAGATTGAGAGAGGAGGGAGAAGTCAGCAGAGGTGGAGCAAGGAGGGGTGAAGTGGAGGTTGAAGTCATCCCAACAGGAGGCATTTGGAGCAGAGGCTGAGGGAAGGTAGAAGTGCTGGAGAGACGATAGATGAGGAGATGTTTTAGGCAGGGATTCGCGGATGGTATAGAGTGAGATGTTCAAAGGAGGAGATAGACTGCGTGGAGTATACTTTGCAACCAAAGGATCCAATATGGAATGTAGATTGACGCACAGACAGACATTTCGTTTAGATATTATACTCATCTGGGAGGACTCAGTGGGAGGACTCCTTTAATATATTTTCTCTCTCACTCTCTCTGTCAGTCCCACATGGGAGGACTCTAGCTTCCATGACAACCAGAAAAAAGTGCCATACATTTGTTGCAGAATATAGATGTACAAAAAAAATGCCCTTGACACTGCCAGTTGCAAGACCTTCTCAATGAGATATAAATTATGTCTCTATATCAAGCAGTTATTCTGTTATTGTCAGATAGACAGACCGACATTGTTTTATTAGTATATATATATATATATAGATAGATAGATACAACATCGAGAATTAAGCACGCTATATATAGTGGAGTATCTATCTGATTTCTGCAGTGCTTTTGATTATATTTTAATGGGCTACAAATAACTTTTCATCATGCTGCATGGGTTTCAGTTGTTTGCAGATTGAGTTGGAGAAAGCTCGGACAAACAATTATATCATACTGTGAACATTGACTCTAATACTGGCATATCCTGCACATGTAAACTTAATTAGCAGTGGGGGGCCTGTACTTAAATCAGATCTCTTACAATAACAGTAATCAGATTAGTGAGGTTTTGGTATATGCCTGTCTGCTAATAAAGATTTATGTCAGAAGCCTGGAGAATGGAATCTGCTCTTTGCTGAATTGTCATGGTTGAGCTCGTAGCATTCTCATCACTGCTATACCAAATGTAAGGATTATTATTATTATTTCAAAGCCAATATAGAACTGGGACATGAGCAAACACACGCAAGTTCATACATTTTATTACAGACCAGGATTAGCCAGTCTCCCCCTTGGTAGACCTGTGGCTCCATATATGTCACTACTTGTATCCATGGATGGACCAATATTTGCGAATTTGTTCTTGCTGGGATTGAGGCAATAGTATTTCTCTCTCACGCTCCAGCAAGAGGATGAAATACAACAGTGCATATGTTTCCTTTGCAGTTTTGCTGCTGCAATACCATGCCTACAATTAGCTTTCTCTTGCTGGAAAAGGAAAGGGAATGTAGATGTCTGTATTTTGGTATTGCCATCATCCCAGTTGGGAAGTCTGATAACAACAAAATAAAGGAAGAGAAGACAATGGACAAAATAAAAAATGTAAGACAACAATAATGAAATAATCCTTGCATTTGAAATAGCTTGTTATTGCATTGCCATCAATATCTCAAAGGGATTAACAAGATTTATGATAGAGTGAAGTACTCGTATTTGTAGAGACAAAAATAGTGCATTTCTTCCAACCTCCCCCATCCCCACCTGTATTTTAGTTATCGTCTGTACCAATGCTCTGAGGTGCCATTCATTAAGTACTGGATAAAAATGGTCTAGGATAACTACCATTACCATTTCCTTCTCTTCATGGGGAATTTCCTGGCCTCTTTTCAGTAACTTCCTATATTGAGATTGTGTGCAAAATTCAGATTTGTGGCTTGTCATTTGTAGTGTAGTGAGTTTAAATGTTCTTGGGATACAAAATAAAAGAGCTACAGTTCAGGAAGAATACATGCAGTGATATAAATCCTAATTACAACTCTTGCCTAGAATGGAGGATTTCTTCCAAAATGCTTGGGCTAAATTCTACCTAATATTCTTTGACCAGCCATTTTCCTCAACTATTGTAGTTACTTCTGTCTCACACTGCTTTCCGTTCTTGTTGGATTACAGTGTAATTTTAAGCAAAACTAATATAGAAAATTAGCTTATTGTGTATCTTTAAAATGATTATTTAGTTTTGTTTACTTTTTTAAAATCTTTTCACCACAGGTGGTCAAGTTGCAAGACAGTGAAGGTTACTGCATGTGTGTGCATAAAAAAATGAACAAACACTTGAAATTTTCAAGGCAATGAAGAATAAGTTCACTAGGTGATGATCTTGACTTTTGCAGGAAGTCACAGAGTACAATGGTAAGAGGCCATTGGACGAATTCACTTTCAAATCCCTCCACAGCCTCCCTCTACACGTCTGCAACCCTAATGCCTGGCTGCTCAATGTGTTCAGTGCAAAACAGCCTGCTTCTTGTCCCCTTCCAATCAGTATGGGAGTTTTCAGCCACTATACCCCTGCTCGGGCTCCGTCTGATGCGTGAAGTGCTTTGAGCCATCTTCCAGTGTGAAAGGGGCTGTATAAATTGTTACATCTTAAACGTGTCATAAATCTCCTACTTGAGGTTGCAGGCATATCAATAGAGTAAATTTGCATGAAGCACACAAAAAAATGTTGTACTGCTTAAATGCTGGGTGCTATTTATTGCATTGAGAGTGCTCAATAAATTGGTAAAATAACAGCATCGTGAATTTCAGTAACAGATCATTTCCTGATTATTTAAAGTAGGTGTAGAAGTATGTATCATGATCACAGATCTGCTATATGCTGCATTGTGCTGGTAGTTCATTAATTAAAAACTTTGCAGTGTAGCTTTTTTTACCTGACTATCAAATTTGAGGTTAGGTTGGCACAATACAATTCCATACAAAACATGGCTAGCACCATATTTCTAGACTATTGTTTGCATTTAATGTAATATGTTATTAAAATGCAAAGGTGTATTGTGCTGTTGAACCTGGGGTACTTTTGTTTGCTTATTGAAGAATTTAGTTGAAACATAGGCAAGAAAATATTTTATTGTTTTGTTTCCATAGTTGAGTTATATAATTATGTATTGATGTAAACAAATATTGAAATAATTGAATACATATACTTTTTAGGAAAAATTTAATCACGTCTCAAAAAGGAACATCAACAAGTCATTATTGTGCTGTTGTATCTGATAACAAAAACTGTTAATACATATTTGTGTTTTAAATTCGTTTTTAAAATAGTATTGTGTGTTGTACCCCATACTCGGCACACTTTCTTTCACTGAAAAATAAACTATGCATAATTTAGTTTTAACTTATTTTATTTTGTGTTAGGCGAGGTTTGCTGTGCATAATTCTGCAAATGTGAAGAGACCTTAATGAGCATGGTTATAATTGAATGTGGAGTATTGTATATTCTTCAAAGATCAGATTTACAGCAAATTAAAATATATTATGGTCAACATGGTGTTGCATTGAAATTCAAGATTTAGTGCAGTAAATGTGACACGTGACCCCCCTCATGCCCTTCTCAATGCCAAAGTCCATGAATTTTTTGGAGTTTGATATTTAGTAACAGCTAGTATCCCATTAATCAGCAATTGGTTCATAGGATAGAAGTCCAGTCTTTACAGATTTCACCATTGAGAATGGGGGGCAAGTGTATAAAACACATAATTCCTTGATGCGAAATATGGCTAACAAAGGAAAGCTGCTTTGGTTGGTTATCTAAACAAAGTACGTGTACTTTGATTAATCTTTCAAAATTAGCATTATTGTTAAAAAAACGATGCTTTTTATAGAAGGGGAAAAATAGTTGTGGATTTTGTGACTAGTTTGACAAAAAGGATGAAAATCACAAAGTCCATAATTTGAGTGCTGCGTAGGACAGAGTACATCCATATGATTGTATTTTGTTTTTATGTAACTGGTAAATGAAAAATTTTCAAAAGTTATAGTTTAAGATTTTCAGTCCATTTCGAGGTCCTGTATCAGTTATAATCTGTCTGACCTTCTCAAACTCACCTAGTGTGCAACCTTGGCATCCAGACCAATCTTCAGCTCTCGTTTTTCCCTGATGTTCGGTCACTGACCAATTCCTCTTTTCTTCACCTCTACCACATTGGCCACCTCCACCCTAATCTCTCACCAAATTACTACCAACACACTTATTCACGCCTTTGTGTCCCACTGAGACTTTTTAAAGCACTCCTCACTGGTACCCCTAGCTCCGGCTTCCACAAGCTCCAGATAATCAAGATAATTTTTTAAAAAATGTTAAAAACTAAAGGGATATGGAGATAGGGCGGGTAAATGGAATTAGGTTAGAAGATCAGCCATAATCTTAATTAATGGCGGGGCAGGCTCAAGGGGCCGAATGTCCTACTCCTGCACCTATGTTCTTATCCAAACTTCCATCACCCAAATCCTCATCCACACCAAACTCCACACGCCCAATATCCCATTGCTTGCCAGAATGCACTTGTTCCCTGACTCCCAATGGATCAATTTCAAGGTTTTCCCCTACATCTATCAATCCGTTCACACCCTAACATTTCCCTATCTCTGATCTCTATGTCTCCCAGCTACAACATGCACAGGATTCGGCTGATACAAAATTCCGCCGCCCGCATATTCACCCCCATCACACCGGTTCTAGCCAGGCTCCACTAGCTCCCTATCCTAGGCGAACAGGTTGATTTAAAGATTCTCACACTCGTTTTCAAATCCTTCATGGGCTGGCAACTCTCTATCTCTCCAACCTGTTAAGCCCCAACCCACTGCCTCCACTCGACTGGCTCTGGCCTCTTGCATGTCCCCCGTGCCCTCTGTTCCACCATTGGTGACTGCGCTTTCAGCCACTATGCCTGAAACTCTGGAACATTCTTCCTCCATCCTCTGCCTTTCCCCTTCCCCATCATCACGTCGCGCCTGAAGACCTACCTATTTGACCGTGCCTACGGTCACCTCCCCCTTTGTGCTTCGCCATTGTCAAACGCAGTGGGATGCTACATAATGTTGAAGGCGTTATATAAATGCAAGTTGTTGTTAATCTTCTACGCCACTTCTCTGCTCGCCCTCCTCCCTCAACTATCTCAGGCTTTCTGCATGTCCCTGCCCAGTACACCACCACCAGTGACCGAGCCGCCAGAATTTACGCCCCAAGCCTCTAGAACTTCCTCCCTCTACCTCTCTGACTCACCCTTTCTCTATGTATTGTTAAAATTCGCCTTAAAACCTACCTCTTTAACTGCACCTGTGGTCACTTCCCTTTCCTCCTCTGCCCTCAATGTCTGATCCTATCTTTGTATAGCACTCTGAAACATCCTTTGTGAAGAGTGCTATATAAGTGCATGTTGTTGTTGTAGTTGTTGTAAATCAAATAAAGTGCAGTAATGCTTAAAATAATCATTTTCCTTGTTTCTTTTTTTGGTTGTAAACGCAATTTAGGCCCTTCAATAATTTATGGAAGTGATAAACAAAGATATAGCATGACTGTTTAATTTTTTTAATGAGAAAAGAGTAAGTGATGGCTATGTCCAAGGATTATTGAAAGTTAACATTGAATTAACTGGATGCAGGTGTGCCCCCACTTGCCAAGTGAATTGCAATATAGGTTTTCTTTCTTTGTTACTCAACAGTAATATATTTCCGAATGAATATTGGAAAGCATCCCTATACTATTACAATGCTGATTTCGAGTTTCAAATCACAGACATCCCCAAGAATCTAGGTTGCTAAATGCTTGAACACTGCATTAATTTTGTTTGACTGATCATACAGGGTTTTGTACATGAACTAAATTAAAATAATTCTGCTGTCAACCTACAAATAGTATTTTGCTTCAAAACACTAATTGGTAAATAATATGGTGTGTTCAAGAATAAATCAAGTTTGTAGATAACAAGGAGGTTTTTTAAATAGAAATAGCTGCAATGAAAAGTGATGCGCACGCCAACATTCTATACGTTGGCACAAAAAATAGAATGAATGTGACTGGCATTCATATCTTAGGTTTTGAGAGAAAAAAACCTTTGAGGGAGAAAATACTTTAGCTGAGCAACTGAGAAGGAAATGTAGGAGGAAGTAGGAGGAAATGATGGTTATTTAGAGTAAAGAAAACAGTACAAATATAATAAAAGATTCAAATAGGGTCAATAGAGTCTTCTTGAAGTTTGGGTTTAAATGCTTTTGTACTCATGCAAGGAGCAATAGGAGTAAACTATTGGAATCAGCGGTGCACAAAACTATTAACATCTTAGAAAAATAGTTGCATATAGAAGGGAGCTGATAGAGTATTGATTATCTCGAAACGAAAATTTCACCTAAGAAAACTTCCATTCCTTAGCCACGAGTTTTCAACCTTGAAGGATAACTGTTTTGGAGACGTGTCATAACTTTAACCTGCATTGGAACTTTGCTAGCATCTTTGGATGACATAACCGTTCGTAGGTATGTTATAGTTTGGGTCTCAGCTGCATTATGAGGACCTCCCTCCTCCTCAATGCTATTTGGGTTTGTCTCCAGCAGTGAATTTATAATGGAAAATGAAGAAGAAGAATTGCTTGCTTTGTGCATTCTGCTTGTCAAATGAAGCACCCTCCATATACCAATCTCCCACCCACTTGGCCCCACAGGGCTTGCAGCATGTGTGTAAGCCTGCTAATTATGGGACTCCAAGGCAAAACAAACTCGTTCTTAATGCATGAGTTCCCCTTCATAGCACACAAGAAGAAAAGATCACGTTCATCAATGTGAGGTGATGCCAAAGATGTTGGTCATAAAGGGGCATAGCCTCATGATTTTTCAGCCATGAACTAAAGTGGATTGGCTCCAGTCGGGTGTGGAAAATGCTTCATTCAAAATTGGGAAATGTACTATGAGGGAGATAATCTTTCTTGATTACCAAGTACCACTAATTTGATTCAACTGATGAGACCTAGAATTTGGCTAGAAGGAATATAACGTCACCAAGAAAGGTAGGATTTTATCTTCAGAATAAAGGCTATATTCCACATATTGTTTGTTGGTTCTTTTTGTCACTTTACACATATTCTGTAAGGAGATCAATTCAATCCCACCTCCCAACCTTATCCCCTTCTGACTCAGTGGCCAGAGTGCTACCAACTGAGTCTAATTAAGTCTATCTCATTCTTTCCGCCCTATCATTTCTCAACTAAATCCAGTTGTACAGTGTCCTGTCCTAAACCAAGGCTTCTGAGCTTCTGATTTGGCAAAATGAAGTGATATCCTGTTTGCTTTGACCAGCAACTTCAATGTTGGTTCAGGCTTTTTAGGTGAGTGATGGGTCATTGAACATCTATTTCAACTTCCTCCTTACTATCCCATTCATGGAGTCCATGCATCTCCTATTCTATTTCTACCTATTTTGCATATGTATGTACGCACACACTGCAGTTACATCTGGTGGCGCGCCGGCTGACTGGCGCTGTGGCATTCTGCATCATAGAACACACATGTGGCCAAGCGGCGGGAACAAAATAAAGAACACAGACGAAGCTAAGTGGCGGCAACAACAAAATTACATTTTTAAAGCACCGAGTCCTCCCACAGGTGTTCTCCCAGATGAGTATAGATAAAGATGAAATGTCCGTCTGTGTGTCAATCTACATTCCACATTGGATCCTTTGGTTGCAAGTGTAACTGCAACGAGTACAGCTAGTATAATTATATATATATACACATATGTATACACTAGCTGTACCAGGCCCGAGAGATAGGGAGGTGCAATGCCCTATCTCTCCGACCTTCTTACCCTACAACCTGCTGCCTCCACTCGACTGACTCCGGCCTTCTGCATGTCCTTCGTGCCCACTGTTTCACCATTGGTGGTCGCACTTTCAGCCACTAGCCCTGAAACTTTGGAACACTGTCTTCCTCTATCCCTCCGCCTTGCCAATTCCTTCCCCATTTTCAGATCGTGCCTACGGTCACCTCTCCCTCCTCCTGGCTCAGTGTTGTGCTCTGCCGCTTTCAAGTGCTCTGGGAAGCTTCCCTGCATGAAGTGTGCTATATAAATGCTTGTTTTATTTTTAATATATACAATGTATATATAGGGAAGGGTGAGTATGGACCTCTGAGTTGCTCCATTTAATATCGCCTCCAATATGTCCTAAATTCCATAACAACCATCCTCTGTTTCCTCTCCTTTAGCCATTCTTATTACATATCCATATTTTATCCCTCCAGTCATTGGTAAATTTACTGTTGTAGACAGGAAATGGAGTCAATAACTGGAAAATTCCTCTTTCCTCTAATCCCAAATAATGCCTTTACGTTTCAATTATAAACATTCTGATCGATTTTACAAATACATTTCAAACTGGCTTCCTTATCATCAACACTTTCCTGCACTAACAGCATCAAAATAAAATCATATATTGTAAACTGTCAGATGGATGTTGAAGATCCTATCACAATATATAAAAAGAGAGTTTGCCCTGGCCGACAATCCCCCAGATAAAACTGGTCATTCATCTTATGGCAGTTTGTTGGAAATTGCTGTGTGCAAAATTGGCTGCTGCGTTTAGCTACAAATTACATAGTCTCTACACTTTACAGAGAGCATTTTGAGATGTCCTCCTGATGTGAAAGGCACTAAATCAATTGCAAGGATTACAGCATCATTATTATTAGATATAACGCTATAAAGTACAATTTTCTTTCAGTTTTGTTAATACTTGTTATGAATATTCACTTTACAATTACATTGTATTTCTTGTGGGCAGGAACAAAATGGGAAGCAACCTGATTGCCAGATTCACAATATTGTAAAATACTCTATGTTCGATCTTTTCGTAGATAAAATGAGTACTCTGGAACAGCAAGCACATTAAAAGGCCACATTTTGCATGAGTGGTAATGATAGCTATGTGGGAAGAAGCTCATAATATCCACTAATGACAGGAAAACAAGGATAGTATTAGACAAGAATTCTTAAGATCTGCAAATATATAAGATTTGGGCAAATAAAACAAACTGGAAGTTAATAATACTTGATGGGAATAAGGGAATCAAAATGAAATTCAAGGGGGAAATAATTTAGACTGTTATTGCTGTGAATTAGTAATTAGCAGAACAACAACAACAACAAGATTTCATTTATAGAGCACCTTTCACGTCGGGAGGACGTCCCAAGACACTGGACAATTGGGTCGGGACCTGAGCAGGGGGGAAATGGTCAGGGTGAGGGGAGGGAAGGGAGGGAGCGAGGAGGGGGTAGAGAGTCGAGAGGGGAGCTGAAGGCACGGTCGAAGAGAAAGGTCTTGAGACCGGCCTTGAAGGAGGAAAGGGAGGAGGCGGCGAAGGCACTGGGGGATGGAGTTCCAGAGCCGAGGGGCTGAGAGGCTGAAGGCCCGGCCACCGATGTTAGGGCGGTTGGGGTGGGGGAGAAAGGGTCACGTTCCTCGGGATAGACTGATGTATAGGTAATTCATAGGCTGGGAATATCATGTAGCAAGAGTTTGCAGACAAAGAATATTCTGAATGCCACTTAAGGGTTATCAATCATTTGATGGATGATTTTTCAAAGTAGATGCAATGGGAAACATTGTCAAAATTTAAAGTCCTGAGCATCCAGAATAGCAAAGCTCAAGGTTAATCCTTGATCTTTGCTGAGTTAACAAAACAGCTGATACTGTTGGCCCAATGCTCCCAAGCTTAGGGAAAATAAACCTCCTGAACACTGCCCTGGAACTTGTTCTGGAGCCATAAGGAGGTTAGACTTGTCTATGATCACTGTGCAGTTGAATAGCTTGCCAACACACATTGGCCAGACTCCCATGTGACAAAAGGCCACTTGCATGAGGGACCAGATGGTCACCGCTGTCTATAGCACTCTATGTCCCAGCCTGGCTCAGTGGTAGCACTCTCACCTCTGAATCAGAAGGTTGTGTGTTCAAGTACCGCGTCCAGACTTAAACTCGCATAGTCTTACCAAGCTGACACTCCAATGCATCACTGTGAGTGTGCTGGCATCCCGTCTGCCTGGTCAGGTAGATGTTAAAGATCCCATGACACTATTCGAATGGATAAGAGACTTTCTCCCCCTGTCCTGGCCAACAATCCCCTAAATAAAATTGGTCTTTCTTTCAGTCTATGGCCATTTGTGGGACATTACTATGCATAATTTGCCCACAAGTATGCAGTCACTCCATTTCACAGTGATTTATGGAGTCCTGTAACTCATTGGTTAGAGTGCTCTCCTCGTAAGTAAGAGACCTGGGTTTGTTTCCCGGCAGAGTGAAATGTTGGGCAAGTTTACATATTCCACACGTTTCTGATACATAGCAATACGTAGGAACCCGGTTATTAGTCAACTGGCGGATTGGTTTTCCGGCGGTAATAATTCCTAAAAAAATAATAAATTGGTCATTCAATCCACGACTGTTTGTGAGGCACTGCTGTGTGCAATTGGCTGCTGCTTTCGCCCACAAAAATAGTCAATTCACATTACAGTATATTCTGTGAATTGCTTTGAGACATCCTGAAGATGTGATCAGGTGTTATATTAAATGCAAGGATTATTATTATTTCTGTTAAGCAATTTGAGACTTTCTTCCAATGTCATAAGATGTTACATCAAAGGCAAGGGTTATTATATCAACCTGAGTCGACAACTTCAAGACAACAGGGGTAAGATGAAGAAAATAAACATTACCGAGTATATCCTGCTCTTAAGGATCACCAACCAAACTTGCAGGTATCAAAACAACAGCACAATGTTTTTATTTGGTAAATCTAGTTCATAAAGTTGCAAATAGAATTGTAAAACAACTTAATTTAAGCATGCTATGTTAATTCACTAGTTATACCACAAAAACACAACATTCAGGATTGTCTTATAACAATCTTTAATAATCCTTACATTTGATTTAGCACTTTTCACCTCGGGAGGATGTCTTCTGAATTCATAATATTATTGTAATATAAATTATAATTATCAATCATGAGTTGAAGCGAGATAAAGATTTAGTTTTAAGACAGATAGAAAGAAAGGGTACTGAGGATACAGAAGACTTTGAATTTATACCCATTAAAGAGCCAGACAAATCAAACAAATTAAGATACTGGAAATCTATAGTGTATCAAACATTCAGTTGGTAATGATCTGGCCTCTGATATTCTTGGATTCCTGTAAAACAACAGTAACACTCCAGAGCAATGCTGGGGTGTGCTGCCTTGTTGAGGGTGCTGTCCTACGAAGGGTAGATTAAACCAACGTCCTGACTGTCTATTCAAGTGCACGTTACAGATCCCATCGTACTAATCCAAAAGAGAAGAGAATAACTCCCAGTGTCATGGCTAACAATCCCCCACATAAAATTGGTCATTCACTTTGTGGCTTTGTGGGACATTGCTGTGTGCAAATCTGGCTGGGTTTGCCTGTAAATCCAGTCACTACACTTCACAGCTTATCCTGCGAAGTGGCGTGAGACATTCTCCAGACCTGAAAGAAGCGACACGCGATGCGAGGCTTATAATTATCCTTCGAATAACCTGACGTGAACGGTTCCGAATCAGCTCGGGGTGGGTTCCAAGCGGCCCCGCGTGTGACCACCCTGTCCTTAAGAGAGAAAGTCAACACCGCCCCGGACCAGTCATGTTTCATAGCCAAAGCTTGGGGAGGGGGGAGGGGGGGGGGGATAAGTCTTTTTAAATGCTAATGGAGTTCCTCGTTAATCCTCTGACCCAGAACACGACAGATGTTGATGTACAAATGGCTGTATTGGAGAGAAGTTGCATGTGATGTGCAGTGGCAGTGCCAACTGGGCAGTGAGGGGGGGAGGGCAGTGAGGAGGGAGGGGAGGGCAGTGAGGAGGGAGGGGAGGGCAGTGCGGAGGGAGGGGAGGGCAGTGAGGAGGGAGGGGAGGGCAGTGAGGAGGGAGGGAGGGCAGTGAGGAGGGAGGGGAGGGCAGTGAGAGAGAGGGGAGGGCAGTGAGGAGGGAGGGGAGTGGGGGGAGGGCAGTGAGGGGAGGGCAGTGAGGGGGAGGGCAGTGAGGAGGGAGGGGAGGGCAGTGAGGAGGGAGGGGAGGGAGGAGGGGAGGGGAGGGCAGTGAGGAGGGGAGGGCAGTGAGGGGAGGGCAGTGAGGAGGGAGGGGAGGGAGGGGAGGGAGGGCAGTGAGGAGGGAGGGAGTGAGGGGAGGGAGGGCAGTGGAGGGGAGGGGAGGGCAGTGGAGGGGAGGGGGGGAGGGCAGTGAGGGGGAGGGGAGGGCAGTGAGGGGAGGGGAGGGCAGTGAGGGGGAGGGGAGGGCAGTGAGGGGAGGGAAGGGCAGTGAGGAGGGAGGGCAGTGAGGGGAGGGGAGGGCAGTGAGGGGGAGGGGAGGGCAGTGAGGGAGGGAGGGCAGTGAGGGGAGGGGAGGGCAGTGAGGAGGGAGGGGAGTGAGGGGAGGGAGGGCAGTGAGGGGAGGGAGGGCAGTGAGGAGGGAGGGCAGTGAGAGGAGGGAGGGCAGTGAGGGGAGGGGAGGGCAGTGAGGAGGGAGGGGAGTGGAGGGGAGTGAGGAGGGAGGGCAGTGAGGGGAGGGAGGGCAGTGAGGAGGGAGGGCAGTGAGGGAGGAGGGCAGTGAGGAGGGAGGGGAGGGAGGGCAGTGAGGAGGGGAGGGAGGAGGGAGGAGGGCAGTGAGGAGGGAGGGGAGGGCAGTGAGGGGAGGGCAGTGAGGAGGGAGAGGAGGGAGGGCAGTGAGGAGGGGAGGGGAGGGCAGTGCTGCTCACAGTGTTAGGCAGTAGCGGCAGTAGCAGCGCAGAGCAGAGCTGCACAGCCTCAGAGCCACAGCCACACCGACCGCTCCCATCTCTGTCGGGAACTCGGCAGCGACCACTGCAGCTTTATTGTGCATAATATATATATCATAGGGACCCCCACACCCCCCCCACACCCCCACCCCCCACACCCCCCACACCCCCCCACACCCCCCACACCCCCCCCACCCACCCCCACCCCCTGCAGTTGTTGCAAAGGGAAGATGGCGCCGTCTCGGTCCCGCACTCTCAAGAGATGTCAGAGAGTTTTGTATTGGATTCCCGTCCTCTTCATCGCGCTGATCGCCTCCTGGTCCTACTATGCCTATGTGATACAGCTCTGTCTGGGTAAGTACCTCACCCCCACCCCCCCCACACACCCTCACACACACCCTCACACACACACACACACACACCCTCACACACACACACACCCTCACACACACCCTCACACACACACACACACCCACACCCCCCCCCCCCCACACACACCCCCACACACACACACACCCACACACACCCCCACACACACACACACCCACACACACCCTCACCCACACACACACACCCTCACACACACCCACACACACACACACACCCACACACACCCTCACCCACACACACACACCCTCACACACACCCACACACACACACACACACACCCTCACACACACCCACACACACACACACACACACACCCACACACACACCCACACACACACACACACCCTCACACACACCCACACACACACACACACACACCCTCACACACACCCACACACACACACACACACACACCCACACACACACACACACACACACCCACACACACACCCACACACACACCCTCACACACACACACACACACACCCACACACCCACACACACCCTCACACACACCCTCACACACACACACACACACACACCCTCACACACGCACACACACACCCCCACACACACCCTCACACACACCCACACACACCCTCACACACACACACACACACACACACACCCTCACACACACCCTCACCCCCCCCACACACACACACCCTCACACACACCCTCACACACACACACACACCCACACACACACACCCCACACACACACCCCCACACACACCCTCACACACCCTCACACACACCCACACACACCCCCCCCCACACACACACACACCCTCACACACACCCACACACACACACACACACACCCTCACACACACCCTCACACACACACACACACCCTCACACACACACCCACACACACCCACACACCCACACACACACCCTCACACACACCCTCACACACACACCCACACACCCCCCACACACACACACCCTCACACACACCCTCACACACACCCACACACACACCCTCACACACCCACACACACACCCTCACACCCACCCACACACCCACACACACACACACACACACCCACACCCACACACACCCACACACACACCCTCACACACACCCACACACACACCCACACACACCCACACACACACCCCCAAACCCCCCCACACCCACACACCCCCACACCCACCCCCACACACACACACCCCCCACACCCCCACACCCCCACACACCCCCACACACACACACACCTACACACCCACACACACACACACCCACACACCACACACACACCCACACACACACACATACTGTGCAAATAAATGCACACTCCACTCAACACAATGCTCCAGGTGAGCAGAGCTGTCTGGCCAGGTTTACAGCTGACTGCAAATATAAAGCCGCCACCAACAGCAAAATAATAATAATAATAATAATAATAATAATAACGGTCCTCGCATTTGATATCGCGCCCTGATCCCGTCTTCGGGACGTCTCAAAGCGCTTCACGCCCATATACTGTAGATTGAACCGAATGCGGGTGAAATATTATTAATAGTAATAGAGAGAGATGAGCCCCTGCCTGGTGCAGTGTGCCCTATTGCTTGCCCCCACTCCCCCACCCCCCCCTCCCTCCCTCCCTCCCTCCCACACACACCGTGTTCTTGTTTGTAAACACAGCTCTCCTTGCGAGGCAGCAGCACATCACCATTTTGTGGAGCCCTCGTTCACCTACTACCGTACACAATGTGTGTTTCCTTGACATTCAGACTCAGGAAGGAAAGCACCAAAAAAACTGCAGATCCGCATTCAGTGTGATGTTTCGTCCACAAAATACATTCAATTCTCTTCGCAATTATTTTGTCAAGCGTTTTGAGACGTCTCAACGATGTGATAAGGCGCTACATCAAATGCAACAATTATTATTATATTATTATATTGTTTGGCGTTCATGCATTTTCATGTGTTTTCTGACATTATCCTCTTTGGCTCCCATCAACATCTTCTCTCCTGCGGGTCTGAGCTCCTCAACCTCCCCGGCTGCTCCTCAGACTCACCGAACCCGTGCACAACTTCGCCGTCAGGTTCCATCCCCAGCTTTCGGTTCTACCCCATTCCCTGACCAGGATGGCTTTTTTCCACCTCCATCACATTACCCTCACAACTGACGCAGCTGAAACCCTCGTGCACGCCATTCATCACTTCCTGGCTGGACTATTCCAATGCCCTCCTCTGGTCTCCCCAGTTCCACCATACACAAAATTCAACAAATTCAAAACTTCACCACCTGGATACTCACCTGCACAAAACTCCGTACCCCATCACCTTGCCAGGCTCCACTGGCTCCCAGTTACTGAACTGATTGATTTCAGGATCCTTTCACTCGTTTTCAAATCATTTCATACCCTGGCATCTCCTTACCTACCGGACCTGCTTACCCTCCACTCCACCACCTGCTGCCTCCGCTCGGCCGACTCCGGCCACCTGTTTGTCCCTTGTCCCCTCCGCTCCACCATCGGTGGCCGTGCCTTCAGCCACTACGCCCCGAAACCCTGGAACTCTCTCCCTCAATGCTTCCGCCTTGCCATCTTCATCTTCAAATCCTGCCTGAAGACCTTCCTTTTTGATCACGCTTATTGTCACCTCCCCTCTGCCTCTCCCTGGCTCGTTCTCAGACGCTACCACTGTGATGCCATCCTGAGTGAAAGGCGTTATATAAATGAAAGTTGTTGTTGTTGTTATCAGGCTGAACCATTGTATTACAGTGCCTGGTGTTAGTCCTTGGGGCAGTTTTTTTTAAGTTGAATACAGTGCACCAGATCAGGTACACGTTTCCATTACAAGACATAGTAATTGCAGTAAGATCTGTTATAAACCCTGGAATTTGTTTTAGACTTTCAACCACAAAATACAGTCAATCCACTTTACAATGTATTCTGTGAAGAGCTTTGAGACTCAACGATGTGATAAAGCACTGTACAAATACAAGGATTATTATTACTAGATTTGTACTAATTCTGAAAAGAATGACTGTTACCACTGGCTTGGGTTTCAACTGCTTGGGTAATATGCTGTAATATAGAATTTATATCTAAAAACTTTGTAAGAGTTTTTTTTTGCAATGGAAGACTGTAAACGTACTCTAAATTGAAGGCTGTGAGATCTCTATCCCAGTCCTGCGCATTGTTAGCTTCACCTCAATCTCAATCAGATAACCTTCCACGGTTCCAGGGATTAAAACCTATTTACTCAGCCTCTCATCATAGCTGAATCCATTCAACCCATTTCAATCTGACTGAACACAATATTCTAGATGAGTTCTGATCACCTCTCGGTATAACTGCAGTATTAGTACTTTGGCTTTGTGTTTCAGACCTCATGGAATAAATCACTGCATCCTATTAACTTTTTGGATTGTTTTCTGCACCAACAAACTAGCTTTCATTGACTTGTGTACTCAAACCTCAAAATCCTTTTGTTCATCCAAGTACTTTTAGCCCTGTGTGGGTAAGTCGCATAGTCTCAAATCTAAAATGTATTTGGTGAAGAAGCCTAAGTTGAAAACATGGAGGGTAAGTTTGGGTCAGACCAAATCTGGGTAAAACTGCAGTTAGGGCACTATTACTGTATATGAGCTCAAAGATGAAACTCATTCTCTGTATTGTCACCGGATGCAAGGGAGAGAAAAAAATATTTTTAATAATTTTCAAGTCATTCAAGCGGAAGCCAATAATTGATTATGACAATCTATCCGAATGACATTTAACAGGAGATGTGCCTCATTTGTTTATTGTTCACATGCATCAGAATAGATTCATCATTCAAGGCTAAAAAAGATGTATATTACGTAGTATTTACTTTAATATTTATACTGATTTAAGCAAAGATGTTTGCTGGTTTATCTTCATATTTGAAGACTTGGTTGATGCCATCACAATACGTTGTTTTAGTTAATGTTTTAGAATAGGCAACCAAAAATAAGAATATATGAATTTTTACGAAAGATTCAAGGAAATCCAACCTTTTTGATAGCTTGGAATGAGACATTGGAATCTGAGTCTTGATGAGACTGACCTGAAATATCTCAAGATTGAAAATCGGAAACTAAAAGTTTAATTTTTTAAAAAAAAAATGTTATTTTTTTCCCCACCACTGCTGTATTTTATGTTGTATAATCATTAATAATTAATAATCAATATCATTGGGTTTTCAGTGAGTTTGTATCATCAGGCAAACAAATCCCAGAAATGACTCATCTAATGTACAGCTCTGAACGACAAATGTTATTAATTGAATTGGAGTACACTTAGTTTCTTACATCAGCAGCTTCATTTGTCTGGGCATGAAAAATGCAATACAAATTATAACAGTAAAAATTGATCATCTTCCAAAATCATTGCATTAAAACCGAGAAAATATTATCAAAGTATTGCTGTTGTCTCCTTGGCTTTAAAATATTATTAACTGCTTGGATGATTGGAAATATATGGAAATATGGTTTAGGGAATCTGAGACAAGGTAATGTGGTCCTGCTAGGTTTCTTGCTAGGTCAAGACTTCAATTGATTAATGCCAGAAAGTGCCCATGAATGTTTACTAAGAGGTACAGTAAAGCTAAACAATAAAGAGGTTTCACAGCTTGTCATAATTAATGAGTTCCCTGAGGCAATATCCTCCAGAGAGTAATCAGCATTGATATTTGTTTCAGGCTGTATCAAAGCATTACTACAGCATTTTGTTTTCACTCCAAACCCTTGTAAAACTTCAATCCCTAGTTTTACTTTAACAATGGTAGGCAGGTATCTAGGACTTACCAACCCATTAGAACTTTGGCTTGTAAGGTTGAGAAGATGCCTGTAATACTTGCTAACCATACACTTGCCAATCACGTCTCCTACACTTGCCAGCTGTATCTCCCACACTTGCCAGTTATCTCTCCTACAACAACAACAACAACAAAATTACATTTATATAGCACCTTTCACGTTGGG